TAAATAAAAACCTACTTTAAACTTGAAATGGATTATATACTTAGCATTTCCCACACATTTGAGTAAACTGTAATTTTTTGGGGGGAGGGGGTCTGGTCGTGGGGCCTGAACTCTGGGCCTGGGCACTGTCCCTCAGCTCTTCAGCTCAAGGCTAGTGCTCTACCACTTGAGCCACAGTGCCACTTCTGGCTTTTTTTCTTTTTGCTCATGTGGTGCTGAGGAATCGAACCCAGGGCCTCAGGCATGCAAGGCAAGCGCTCTACCACTGAGCCACCTTCCTAGCCCCTGTAATATTTATAGTGATATGTAGAATAATCTTAAGATGAGTGATGTTGAGAGACAATGTTTAGCAAGATTCTTCCTGGAAATTTTGTGAATAGTGTCACTCATGGCTTTAGACCTAGACTTTTAGACTAACTTTTCAATAATATTTAGAAAGGCTTTGGAAAAATTAAAAAATGCCTCTCTCCATAGCAGAATCCAACGAAACAGGTTTATTGCTTACTGTAATGAAGATGTCTTGCCCTGGGATAAAGGTTGGGCAGGTATGCTAGTCAGGTCTTGATGCTGTCACAAAATACCTGGCCAAAACAACAAAAAGACTTGTTAGCTCAGGGTCTCAGTGCTTGGAATCTGGCTCTGGCTCCATTGCTTCTGGGCCATGGTAAGTCAAAACACTGTGGCCAAAGAGCATGGTGGAGCAAAATTTCTCACCTCATCCATGGCCAGAATACAGACATAAGACATGGTAAGTCATATCTTCTATGAGGACTCCAGTAACCTATCTCCTATTTTCACTATCTCTCAGTAACATCATCAAATTGACTCCAATATATGACGGACCATTGATTAGGGCAAAGCCCTCATGATCCAATCACCTCAATGACTCATCACCTGAGGACCAAGACTTCCAACACTTGAGCCTTGGAGGGAAATCATATCCAAACCACACTAGCAGATATAGCTGCACCTCATCAGAAATACTTGACTTGTTTAGGTATAGGTAAATGTTCTCCAAGGCTCCATGTATTAAAGGCCTGGTCATCAGCACCGTGATACCAATAGGAAGAGATGGGACTTGTTGAAAATATCAAAACCCTATCCTATCCTTTTTTCTTTTCGTGATGACTCCCTCCTCCACACATTGGCACTATGTACTTGCAACAAGCCCCAAAGCAAAAGGCCAAGTGATCATGGCCAAAACCACCAAAAACCAACTTTTACCCTCCCTCTGGCTTTGAAGCTTCATCTAGGAAGCCAGCATAAGCTGGCCTAGAAATTGTCTTGAAGCTGATGCTGGCTTTGAACTAAAAATCCTCCTGTGTCTACCTCCCTAGGATTACAGAAATAACCCTTTTTAAAAGTTGATTTATCTCCAGTATTTGTTACCCACATAGAAAGATGAGAAAGACAAGCCATAACATAGTTGTGTTTTTCTTTAAATCTGTAACAAAAATCTCATGCAAAGCATGTATGTGGGATCTCTGACACTGCCAGTCCCAAGAAATTAACACAAAAATGAACATCAAGCTTTGCTGTTGTTTTGGTGGTTGTAGGGCTTGAACTCTAGGCCTGGGCACTGTCTCTCAGCTCTTCAGCTCAAGGAGTGTTCTACCACTTGAGCCACAGCATCACTTCGTTTTCTGGTGGTTTATTGGAGTTAGAGTCTCAGGGACTTTCTTGCCCACGCTGGCTCTTAAACGTGATCCTCAGATCTCAGCCTCCTGAGTAGCTAGGATTACAGACAGACTAACTTGTAAATATAGTACATTTCATATTCTTCAGTTCTTAACAGCGACAAAATGAAATGAAATCCCTAATAAATATGCCATCTGAGGAACATTAAAATTAGCAAAATACAGTGGAGTACACTGTAACAATAACTTTTGTATGTTGGATGGATTTTATTCAGATCTTCCTTTCCTTGCTCTTAAATGCCTCTTAACTAAAGCATTCTAATTTTCACTTCTAAAATGTCTTCTTTGATTAGTCACTTACCTTTAATTTCCAGCTATTTATTAAGAAAATTGGCAAGGCATTTGTCTGTGTTTTAGTAAGTATGAAAGCATTTATTTATATCCAATGAACATGGAAATAATTACGGACAGCTGTAGAGTACAGCTTACTTTCGAAATCCTAGTTGCAGATGTCTGCTGATTTTTAGTTCTATTTTTAATTACACCACTGTGTAACTTCTAATTTTTTGCCTAAGATTCTTCAAATACATTCAAGAGAAACCAAATGAATGTGAATAAGAGTAGGTTTACATTTCTAATGGCGGATAAAAGGCAACTGGTTTTTAAGATGATCCTGTGTACCAAGTGTTTACTTGAAGTAGAAGACAAAACATTATCGAGCTAATTAGTGGTGCCAACGCAGATTTGGGAGAGAAAACAGTTTATACTGCACATCTTGCCATCTCTTTTTCTAGTAAGGGGGGATGGGGGGAATGATAAATTGAACAGCTGTTCAACTTTCTATGAAGTATCCATGAAAAATGCCCCCAAATGTCAATCAAGTTCAGATTGTTATCTATTGTTTCCTACTGCATGGTAATCAAAATATTTTAGTCTTTAGAATATTTTAAGTGTTTTGTTTTTTAAGATAAAGACTGTATACTGGCCCAAAGAAAATCTCAACTTGTGAAGACAAATCAAGATTACCTTCAATTATCACAATACCTACTACAGCTAAAAATGAGCAATTAGAAGATAGCAATTAACAGAACCTTAGAATTTTATAAAGTATTTCTAAATAAACCATGAATCAAAGGGCTTAAAGGTAGACAACAAAAGAGCAAGAACACTATACTTCCAAAATATACAATCAGAGAACTTTTAACTAATTAGAAACCTTGGAGTTAAATGAATTTAACTTAAAAAGCCCAGGTGTGTGTGTGTGTGTGTGTTAGAGAGGGAGAACACAGTAAAGAGAACTAGTGAACAAAACCAAATCCCAAGTAAAAATCAATGACTCAAGGCCAATAAACAAAACTTTGGTTTATCTTCCTAGATAGGTTAACGTATGAAATCAATTACTTGTAATATGCCAGCAAGAACTAGTTAGCAATTTAAAATAATCCAATTAACAAAGGAATGCTACCAATAACTGGAAATTATATGATTAAAAAATTAGTGAAGAGTTTAGTGCTACTTAATGACGCAGAATGACTTGACATGTGAGTTAATGTAACCTACTGGCTAAAAAAACTGTTTCACAGAAATTTCACAGAAATGACTTCTCCCTCCATTCAGCATTCAGGGTGATTCCAATCACAACCCAAAGCATTTTTCTGAGCTTGACAAAGTGCATTTTTAAGGATAACCAGAAAACATGTAAAAAGATTAAGTCAATTTAGTTATCAAAATGAGCCATAAAATCAGGTTATGATTATGATCGGTGAAATCGAGTTCCTTGTGAACGTAGTACTATTCTGGAGGATGGCCAGGGATGATTCTTAGGGAGATTCACCCTTTCATAAAATTCTTGTTTTGCACTGGTACAGTGGCTCACACCTACAAACTCAAGATATTGAGCAGAGACCAGGATTTCAGTGAGACCTCACTTCAATAAAAAGGCTGAGTTTGGTGGTTCACACCAATAATCCCAATTACATGGGAGGTCTAGGTAGGAGGATAGTGTCCAGGCAGGCTAAGACACAATATTGAAAAAACAGCTAACCTAAAAAACAGCTGGCAGAAAGTCTTAAGTATTCTAGCACATGCCTAGCATTGTGAGAGGGCCCAAACTAAAACCACAGAACTACCAAAATAAAGTTGGAAGAATTTATCAATTATGCAGAAAATTTACTCAGATTGGTAAACCATGATGTATTTTTCTATGAATAACATAAATGTGACGTTGTTTGATATGTATGAAATAGGCTCTTCAAATCTGAAGGACTCTTTAAAATATTTTTCCCCACTCCTGGGGCTTGAACTGAGGGTCTGGGCAGGCCCTGAGGTTCTTTTTGCAAGGCTAGCAGTCTTCCATTTGAGCCACAGTGCCACTTCCGGCCTTTTCTATTTATGTGGTACTGAAGGATTGAACCCAGGGCTTCATGCATGTTAGGCAAGGCCCATTTAAAACATTTCTGAGTACATCACTAAATTAAGCCCTTAAAGTACAACTTTTTTCAACTCACACTTTGTTCTAAATAGCATGTCCAAGGACAGGTAATATAAATGTCATAGGTAGTTTTCACTCTTTAACAGGCCAAAATTATTTTTGTTTAACCTACTACTGAAAAAATAAGTTTTGTCAATACAAAAACATAGCTGACACTTTTTATTGTACATCTTCAAAATATATAGTATGCATTTTACACTGAGGACATATCTCCAATTGTACCAGTCACATCAGACTCAATGCAGCTGAGTCTCCACTACAAGATATTGGCGTGCATATTTCCATTTCTGGCACCCATATTCATACACTGCCTGGATTCTATCAGTCCAAGATAGTCCTCTAACAGAACTAACTCATTACCTATCATTAAACTGATGCCAGCTCTGTCTAGCACTAGATAAATAGCATTGAAAATAGCTGATACAGAGAATCCTGTCTTCATCAGACTCTATCTTTCTTACACACACACACACACACACACACACACACACACACACACACACACATCAATTCAGCTGAAACACAAATCAACTGGTACACTAACAGCCCTTTCCATCCACCTCTCAGAACTGAAGACATGCATACAGGTGCAGTGCACGTGCACACACACATAGGCATTCACTCAAGTACCTGGACAGGCTTCAGAAAGTCCATTGGGCAATGCATTGCAACAAACAGAAATAAACAAGTCATGACAAAGGAAAACTTAAAGTTAGTAAATATACTGAGTTTTTTAAAAAGTGAAGTAAAATATCATGTAATGACCAGAGAAACCTATTACCAGAAAAAGGTAAAAATGAACTTTTTACTTAATAATCTGAATAATAACTTGAATTAACCCTGTATTAGTACCATTTTCAATATTTTTTTAACAGTTCTGGGGCTTAGATTCAAGGCCTAATGAGTGATAGCAAGTGCTCTATCATTTGAGAAAAACTCCACTCCCTTCCTTTTTTGCAAGTCTTGAGGGCATAGAGATAATTTCATACACAGCGTAACATCTGAAAGAATGCAAGGCATCAAGTATTACAATTTTATACAGTATGCATTAAAATGGCATTTTTAATAATATTTATTTTACAAAAAATAATTTACAGTCAGGTTTATAATTTTAGTACAAAACCCTATTTAGTAAATTACTGTTACATAGAATTTTGTATAATTCGAAACATGTATTTACCCAGTGTAAATATTTTAACAACTGAATAATATTTAAGATGCACTATAGACTAGTGCTTTTTCTCTTCTTCTCTGGTCTGGGGTGAGTTCAGCCTCCTCACTGTTTCCTTTTTTTCTTTTTCTTTTTATGGTCACTTTGGTAACCACTGGAGTCACTGCCGTGGAAGACAGGGTCCTGATCTTCTTGGTACTTTTTCTTCTTCTTTTTCTTCATCTTTGGCTCTTCCTCCTGGAGGCTCTCTATATTACGACTAATCTGTATGTCTTCTGCCTCTTCCTTCACAGTGGAATGTGCAGAATCTGCTAGCTCTGAGGTGGTACCATCTGTTTCATGTATTTCCCGATCTTTCTTCTTTTTCTTTTTCTTCTTTGAAATTTTTTCAATAGTTTCCTCAGTTCTGGTTTCTGCCATTTCTTCAGAAACTTTAGAGCACTTGGATTGCAAACTGTAAGTTAAAAGTTAAAAGTAATTAACAGCAGTAGACAAAAATAAAGGCACACGATTAAGAATAACTTGAATTGCTAAAATTTTCCACATGACAGCAGTATAAGATATATAACTCCTGTAACATTTTAAATATTCTATTCTGTTCTCCTTCAGTCAACTGAAATGTCTACGGGCTTTTGTATGTTAATCTCAATGTTAAATCTAACATTTAATATACTTCTAACTTAAATTGTTACCTCTACTACTTAAATGTATCTCTCCAGAAGTTAAAACACAGCTTCTAAATTTTGGCTTGACTCAGGAAATTTTGGGCCACTTAATATTAAGCCCAGGCTTACCAGCTATAAAAGGAACATTTGATAAAGAAATGAAACAATGAAGTCTCCCATCTCTTCTTTCAAACTGCATTTCAAATATGTTGAACTGACCTAGTCATATTTAGTTTTCCTCGAATACAAAATACTCCAGCAGCATCTGAGTCTAGACGAAAAACTTCAAATTCAAGTTCATCACCCACATTTATGTCCAGGGTTTGCCACTGCTCAGAAGACATCTGCTCAGGCTTAGGGATAGAGGCATTAAAACACCTGTGTACTAAACAGCCAATATGGCTAGATGATACTTTATTAACTGTACCCTGTAAAGAAAAGAAAAAAACAACAGTGAGAAAAGACTCAAGTTAAAAGATGAATGAAATCTTCTAAGCTTCAAAATGATCTTCAAAAGAAAACATTCAGATTATAAATTGCAAGTATATTATATATATAAGTATATTATAAATTATAAGGTATATGTTAATGTGGGAAAGTTCACCTTAATTTCAACTTACCATGTTATACCAAATGTAACGTAACTGTAGATGACTGCAGAGTTTCTAGCAAACTCAAACTTTATTAGAGCTACTATAGGTCAACTGTGTATCTGGATAAGAAGCAGTAATCAATCGGGTCAGACCTGCTTCACACAAAACTTTTGCCGCACTTCAAGATTCCCTAGTGAAGAAGTTACTAACTGCACTGAAACCAGGCAGCAAACACTCTGATACAGGTGACAGAACCTCAGGGCAGGAGGCCTGGGCCTCTTTAACTGGAGTCCACATTACATTTCTAGAAACAGAGTCCTCCTTAAAGCTCAAAAATGCATTCTTTAATGATTCGATTTAACATGATAGAAGCAATCCTATTAGTCTTATTAGAAGAGAGTTCACCTTTTATAGGCAAATCTCTAGCATGGCCTCTAGCTAAATCATAAGAACATTAAAACAAAAATGTAAGTGGTATGTGACTTTTCAGCTTTAGGATCAAACTTTTCTTTAAAAACACAAAAGCCTCTTCCAAATTAAAATGTACAAAGTACATGCATGAAAACCTTATTTTTTTAAATTTGCATTTTCTTTAGAGTTGTAAATAATGTTGACACATACACAATGAATTTAACATTAGCAATCTTTTACATTTGTGACAGAGTAAAACTTCCTTGATCTGTCAAGATGGTGTTGGTGTTCCAGTGCTAGTTTCTGCATGGTTTGATAAACTATGATTGTCCACAGAATGCATATTATTCAACAATCAAAAAAGTGAAGTAACAACTGAAAAAAGAAACCCACAGAGGAGTCCTAAGTGCTAATTTGAAAATGATGCTAATCATTTGAGATTATGAAAGAGGCAAAACTATAAAGATCAGAATGGTAAGATTAGTGTATTGGGGAGAAAGACAAGGAATAGATTTGGAGCACAGGTGATTCCAGGGCAGTAAATCATTCTGTATGACACTAAATAGAAGCCACTCTACATTTGTGAGAATGAACACAACCAACTGACCTCTCACATAAACTACAGATGGTCAAGATGGCAGCTGAGACATCGGACTACAGCACAAAAACTAAGGAAATCAGTGACCTTGTCTACTTTTAGTATAATAAAATGAAAAAGATGCATTGAAGAAGGCAGGGAATTGAAAGCTGCCTCCAACCGTGTAGAGGCAGAGTTAAAAATTAAGCTCGAGCCGGGTGCTGGTGGCTCATACCTGTAATCCTAGCTACTCAGGAGGCTGAGATCTGAGGACTGTGGTTCAAAACCAGCCTAGGCAGGGAAGTCCATGAAACTCTTATCTCCAATAAACCACCAGAAAACCAGAAGTGGCGCTGTGGCTCAAGTGGTAAAGCACTAGCACTGAGTTCAAGAGCTGAGGGACAGGGTTCAGGCCCAGAGTTCAAGCCCCGTGAGGTTTAGACCTGAAACACAATAGCAGGCCTGCCATGGTGAAGCTCAATGAAAGACAAACCCCAGAGCGCTGACTCCTGGTTATCACTTGGGTCTGGCTGCTGGGCCACAAATCTACCTCAGCCACAGGAAGGCTACAGAATCAGTAGCCTTGGTCCTAATCCAAGATTATACTGGTCTTGCTGAGTTATTGACTGAAAGTCTTCACACAGCTTTGTGGCCACAATGACACTAGTCAGGTTGGTCCATGCACAGGGAGTGTACTCCAGCGGAGTAGAATTCTACAGTGTCTAACTACAGCCCTGTTATTATGTGTCAGGTATCTGGGCTTATCCTAGCTCCAGGAATAGGCTTGTAAAGTCATATTTCCTTCTAGGCACTGGACCGTTTCTTTCTGAACAACATACTAACAAAAAATTTGGGACAAATCTGAACAACACACCAACAGCAGATCTGAATCTGGTGATGAAATAACAGACAGGACCACAAGTTCAGAGAATATAAGTACCATGTTTAAAAGATTGTTGAAAAGAAAGGTAAAATGGAGCAGATTAGGAGACTTGTCAATATGCAGATAGTAACACATGCCAACAAGCTTCAACAGCTTACAGGAAACCATGACTTCACCTACTTCATGATGGCAGAAACTACATGCAGTCCTTAGTGTGAAGGAACTCTTAAATAGCTCTTTTAAGGAAACTCAATGAAATTGAAGAAACAAGAGAAATGTTTACAACAACAACCCAGAAACTCTTGAGCTGAAAACCATGCAGCAAAATTTAAAATATGCTAGAAGGCATCAGTAGCAGAAAAGACCTAACATAAGACTTAGTAAGCTTAAAAAAAAAAAAAATAAAGAAGTGATTTGAAATACACAGTAGCTAGAGAAAAATGAAAAGGAAGGAATACTAGGATAGGATTAACAAAGATAATATTCAGGTTCTTGAATTTTAAGATAATGCCAAAGAAGTAAAAAGCTCATTCAAAGAAATATGAACAAAATTTTCCAAACTTAGAAAAAGGTAAAAATATACATGCACAGAAAAGTCAAGGGTCAGCAATGAGATTTACCTCAAGCAAGTGTACCCCAAGCCATCTCGTAACCAAGGCTTCATAAGTGAAAGAGAAAATTCTCAAAGTTCCAAGAGAAACACATCTAAGGGTACCCTCTATCTGAAGGCAGATTTCCCAGAGAAACCGTACAGGCCAGGAAAGAGTAACATGAGATTTTCACAGCACTGAAGATTTGAAAAAAAATACATTAACTGAGAATGTAGTTACCAGAAAAGATAGAAGTTATTAATTTCCCTTAGAAATAAAGGAATGATAAAGATTAACCCAAATGAAAGATGAAAGAATGTAACTCTTAACAGTCCTGTCCTGAAATGCCAAATTGGGTATGATGGCTCTCACACTTATAATTTGAGCTACAGCAATTAGGCAAAAGAAAGAAATAAAGGGGATTCAAACTGGAAAGAAGTCACTGCAGATAACAAGATCTTATAGAAACTCAAAAATACTCTACCAAAAAAATTAGAATTCAGCAAAATTATAGAATATAAAATTACTATAACCAAACCAGTAGCATCGTTCTATGCCAACAAAAAAGCCAAAAAGTCAATCCCATCTATGCCAACAAGTTATCTCAAAAAAGAAGTCAAAGAACCAATCCCATTTACAACAGCCGAGGAAACAAACTCAAGACATGAAAAAACTCAAGGCACTCCCAAGTTCATGGATTGCAAGAATTAGTATAGTTAAAATGGCCATATCTAAAAAGCAATATGCAGATTCAATGTAATACCTATCAAAATACCAGCACAATGACATTCTTCACAAACTAGGGAAAAAAAACCCACAAATTTATATAGAGGACAAGATCCTGAATAGACAATCTTCAGCAAAAAGAGCAAACAGATCAAAGAACAGAAGAGAGAGCAGAATTAAACATACATTAAAGAAAGGACACCCTCTCCAATGAATGTTTCTGGGAAAGCTGGATATTCTCACGAAGGACACTGAAACTTGTCCCCTATTATGACTTTAGAAAAATCAACTCAAAATGAATCAAAGCTGCAATGCAATACTGAAATTACAAGAAAACTTAGAAGAACATTTCAAGATACTGATAAGAGAAATTATTTTTTTGGCTAGAACTCCCAAAGCACAAGAAATAAAAGCAAAAATGGATAAATGGGTCACATAAAGCCAAAAAGCTTTAGTACAACAAAGGAAACAATGGACAGAGTGAAGAAACATAGATGGGAGAAAATATCTGCCAGCTATTTAGTTGACAAACATTAATTCTTGAACATATAAACAACTCAAAATACTCAAAAACAAAGCCCCAACAGAGACATGAAAATTAAAACTACAATGAGATACCATCTTATTGGCATCAGAATGGGTATAATTAAGAAAAAAATTTAACAACAAAAATAATATATGTTGGCATGGCTGTAAGAAAAAGTAATTCTTATACACTGTAAGTAGGAATGTAAATTAGCACAGTCACTATAGAAAAGAATATAGAAGTTCCTAAAAAAAACAAAAATCAAGACAGAACATTTAATCAGCAATTCTATTCCTGGTTATGTATTCAAAAGAAACAAACAACAGAATATTTGCATGGCCATGTTTAGTTTGGTTTTATCACAATAGTTAAGATATAGAATCAGCCTAGAGACCCATCAACATGCTAATGAAGACAACATGTACACATGTACACAGTGGACCATTATTGTTAGCTCTGCCTCAGGGTATTAGGGTGCCATGTAGAAATAAGCACACCAATTTGAAAGGAACTTGGCAGTTTACTTCTGCAGAAGAGTGTGCCATCAGCCAAAATTTCACAAGGAAACAGAGCAGGAGGCTGCTCCCTTTTATCCCTAATGCAGCAGAGACCCTGCCCCTCTGCTAGGATTGGTCCGATATCTGCAACAGGATGTTTTAATTAACAGGAACAGAATGTAACTAAAATTCAATGCACTTGTAATACGATGTCTTAAAGAGTAGCAGGAATGAGATGTAAAATTTAATCAAGGATTAAAGTAGGAACTTTTCAGGAAAATAACACTCATAAGATTAACAGAAAGATCTGCTTTGATGGAAAAGACTAACTTTTCTCAGTCACAGAAACGAATATTCTATTATTTGTGGCAGAATAGATAGATCTGGAAGATGCACATCCAGTGAAATAATTAAGACAGAGAGCAAGTATTGTTATGTTTTTTTCTCATAAGTATGTGGGGGGGGGAGGCCAACCTGAAAGTAGAATAAAAATTACTAGGAAGTGGAAAAGGTATTGAGTAGGGGTAGAGCAGTAAGAGGGATGCATATAATCAATGCTTGGTGTAAGTATATATGGAAATACTATGAAGTCCCATTTATATAGACAATTGATATGTTACATTATTTAAAACTACTTTAATATGCTCTTATTAAACTACAGTATTCCACTGGGCGCCGGTGGGTCACACCTGTAATCCTAGCTACTCAGGAGGCTGAGATCTGAGGATTATGGTTCAAAGCCAGTCAAAGGCTGTGAGACTCTTATCTCCAATAAACCACTCAGAAAACCGAAAGTGGTGCTGTGGCTCAAATGGTAGAGCGCTAGCCTTGAGCTGAAGAGGTGAGGGACAGTGCCCAGACGTAGAGTTCAAGCCTCATTATCGACAGAAAAAAAAAAAAAGGAACAACTCCAGTATTCCATACATGCATACAATGTGGATGTAGTTTATATTTTCTTGTAAATAATTTCTATTTACCACAATATTTGATTCCTAAGAAATAGGCAATCTTGGGGATCGAGGCCTGGCTTACGTAAGTAGAGCACTAGTCAATGAGCAAAAGTCGTAGGTAATGAGTCTGAATTCTGGTCTCAAACAAAACAAGTAGACAATCAACATTTTCCAATTACAAAATTATGCAAAGAAAGGAAAAACATGATATACATACCATAAGTTTTTGCCCTGGTCCAGGGCAGAAAATGACAAAATCTGCTTCAATGTCAAGATGAATGTGTCCTTGATCATCATAAATATCTCCCAGCTCACCCACAACCTTGATGTTATCATATGCAATAGGAACACCTAAAAGGCTGTTAAAAAAAAAAAGCCATCTTTTATTGTCTTCATTGATCAGATATTCTCTTCTAAGAGTTCAGAAAGTCCAATGCCAAACCATGACAGCATATGCCTGCTCTTCTGGACTGGTCTAAGAGACTGCAGCAGTGCCATGCACCAAAAAGTTACAATGTGTTGGCTACGTTAAGATTATTCAAGATAGCTGCTCAGAAAACAAAAGGCACAATTTTATACCAGCAACAAATTGACTCCTCTTCCTTGAATGACTGTCATGCTGTTGGAGAAATAATATCTTGGCAAGTGTTTGTGTATTTCTGTATGACCAAACATAATACTTTTCAACCATTACAGAAACATTAGGGTCAAAGGTGGAATCCTCCCTCAATATTATAACCAATGATTTACCACAGAAAAGTCCCAATCTGCACCTGCTGCTAACAAATGGAAATGTGTAGGAATATAACTAGAGCATTTGAGAAGTGGCTCTGACACTTTAGTCCACAAGTTTCAGAGGATAGCAGGAAACTACTTCAAAATGCTGATCATCAACTAAGGAGAAAGACCTGGTGACTTCCCTGCCATTCAAGGAAAAGCTGAAATCAACCTTCTAAATGCATGTAAAAATGCCATCACTGTTCCTAATTTATTGACTCTGTTTCAGTTTCACACACAAATCAAAGGCCACTGAAAACTGCATTCAAAGCAAAGAGTATTTCTATGAAATTATTTTGTTTCTAGCAGGATTCATATAGAATAAGAATTGATGTCTAATAGATTTTATTTTGGTAAAATAGACAGGAGTCACAGGAGAACTGAAAAAACTACCAAGTTAGAAAAATTATAAACTCAAGACACTTCCTGAGAAAGCATTTTTGGGTTGAAATGAAGGACAACTGATATTCTGTAAAAACAAAAGAAAACAAACTTGGAAGTGAATTTGTGTAAGTAGACCTATTTGTCATCAACACTGCAAAAGCCAAGAAAAGACAGTTCTGCACAATGACAAACTACCTTTGGCTCTGCATGACTTCTGAGTACGGGGACAGAGGAGCTGGCACAGAGTCTTTTAAAAAATAAATATAAATCAACACAAAGTCATCCTTGCATAGTTTTAACATATTCAAATTTCTTTGAGTGATATGTAAATTTAAGAGAAAATATCCATATAGCACTTTATAATTTACTGTTATCAGTGTAACCTGCCTACATCACTCCACATTTGTATCTGTACCAAATCCTTAGTATATAATGCATATATAAATATAAACAAATGTGTGTTGGTGCTCAGTTGAATATATCGGATATGACTGTTTCTATTTTTTTAAGGGAGGGGGCAGTATGAGGATGGAACACAGGGTCTGAGGCTTGCTAGGTCAGTGCCCGACAACCAAGCCAGACACCCAGTAGGATACACTTGATTCTTAGAAATTTATATCTGAAATTCCTTGGGGCTGACAGAATTACTGTAGGACAATCATGAAAACCTCAGGAAGTCTATTTATCACAGGTTTTACATTCTCTCTTCTGGGCCAAAGTCGTTTAGAGGAACGTTAAGGAATGTCTCTCCTCCCTTGTAATTTTGAAGCGTTTTCAAGTTCCCTTGAATACCTTAATAGACGTGCACCAGGACTACAGGCTTACTAGTTAGGCTGAATACAGTTTCTGCTCCTATAAAAGACGGCAAGTGGTACTCCACCTCTAACCAAGTCTAAAACAAACAACAACCCCGGGAAATTACCAGGGCCCCAACAATCCACGAGCTTCCCGTATGCTACCAAGACAACTGCTGTACAGATGTGTGCGTGCCATCTTCTACGGTTAGAGAAGGACAACTTAGTTAAGTAACTACTACACATTTTCACTGTCAGATCAATGACAACAAACAAACCCGGAAGGAGCTGAATGAAACGTTTACGGCCTCCAACAATCCTGGGCCTCGCGGGTGTCCCGACAGTATTCCCACCTGCTGCACTCCCGGCCCAGGGCATTTCACCTCCAAGTCCCTCCCCGTCCTTCCATGGAAGGGCTTCCCCGGGGGCCCGGCCGGGCCCAGGCGAAGGCTTTGGCGAGTGCGCGCTGGGCGAGGGGCCGCGGCCGGGCTCGGGGGCCGCCGTGGGGAGGGGCCGCGGCCGGGCTCGGGGGGCCGCCCGTGGGGAGGGGCCGCGGCCGGGCTCGGGGGGCCGCCCGTGGGGAGGGGCCGCGGCCGGGCTCGGGGGGCGGCCGGCGGGGAGGGGGAAGGCGAGGGGCCGCGGCCGGGCTCGGGGGGCCGCCGTGGGGAGGGGCCGCGGCCGGGCTCGGGGGGCCGCCGTGGGGAGGGGCCGCGGCCGGGCTCGGGGGGCCGCCCGTGGGGAGGGGCCGCGGCCGGGCTCGGGGGGGCGGCCGGCGGGGAGGGGGAAGGCGAGGGGCCGCGGCCGGGCTCGGGGGGCCGCCGTGGGGAGGGGCCGCGGCCGGGCTCGGGGGGCCGCCCGTGGGGAGGGGCCGCGGCCGGGCTCGGGGGGCGGCCGGCGGGGAGGGGCAAGGCGACGGGCCGCGGCCGGGCTCGGGGGGCGGCCGGCGGGGAGGGGCCGCGGCCGGGCTCGGGGGGCGGCCGGCGGGGAGGGGGAAGGCGAGGGGCCGCGGCCGGGCTCGGGGGGCGGCCGGCGGGGAGGGGGAAGGCGAGGGGCCGCGGCCGGGCTCGGGGGCCGCCGTGGGGAGGGGCCGCGGCCGGGCTCGGGGGGCGGCCGGCGGGGATGGGCAAGGCGACGGGCCGCGGTACCTCTCCGAGTAGCGCAGGAGCTCGGCGTCCAGCTGCTCCCGGATGCCCGTGCGCTTCCGGTGCAGGTAGCGCGGCGACAGGGCGACGTGCCGGCGGTGCGGCCCGGCCACCAGGCAGGAGTAGCGGCTGCCCACCAGCGCACTCGCAGCAGCGTAGGTCGGCAGCTCCAGGCAGGGCAGGACCCCGGCGGAGCCCACCACCCGCCCCTCCGAGGCCGCCTTCGGCCCGGGAGGCTCCAAACCACCAGCGGCCATGCGGCTAGCTAGGTCTCTGCAGGCGCGCGCGACTGCGCAACCGCCTCGCCGTCGACGCCTACATTGTACGTCACATCCCTCTGCCACGCCTCCGGGATTTTACGCTCCTTTCCTTCGCTCGCACTAGACAAGTCTGACCAGCAGGGGGCACCTCTCCTGCTCGTTCCTAGCCTATGCCAACCCAAAGAGGTTCTGGCAGGCAAAAAGTGTCTCCGACCTCATTGCATTGACGAGGGTGTCCATCTGGATCGTTTGCAGCAGCGACGTGGTTTAATAGAAGTCTGCACGCTTGGGCTGCACAGTAACGCGTCAGAAATGTTTATAGCCTATATCTTCTCTTCTCCTGCAGCTCCCATTCCCCAGATGCAACGTGTGTGCACGAACCCACCGTCTGTCTCCCTCGCAGGGCAGCTTTTCTGCTCTTTCTGCAGCTGCTAAATCAGGAAATAGTCCCATTGCTTGCCCAACTGTCGTCATCCTCAGAGCTCTTACACATTAGCCCACGTCCTGCCTGCCTGTAAGCCCATAGAAGAAACCAGGCTCCATTTGGACAACTATGTCTTCTGGGCTCAAACTGCTCTTGGAAGTGCAGCTTATGTTAGAACGCTCAAGCAACCTGACCTCTGAAATACTATGATGGTCCCTTTTTAAAGCTCCCATTTTTTTTTAAAATGATAAGCCAAACTTCTTAACCTCTGCAGGGCTCTACACTTCTACATGTACAGATCAAGTTTTCTAACTCTCTCTCTCTCTCTCTCTCTCTCTCTCTCTCTCTCTCTCTCTCTCTCTCTCTCTCTCTCCTTTCTCCCTCTTTGTCCTTTCTCATTCCTCCTTCCTCTCTCTTTCTCTTTTCCTTTCTCCTTTCTCCCTCCCTATCCTCCACTCGACGGCAGCTTATTCTACCAGGGAATAATTAGATACCTTCTCTCAAATACATGAATATACTCATGTCAGATTTTATATTAAATTTTACATTCTCTTCTCTGGCAGAGACTTTATTACTCCCTACCCTGTTTCAATGAATTAGTTCCCTGTATGTTTGTCACTGGCATCAAGCATTCAGTTTTAGGTTAATTTTATATTAGTTGGCCATTTGCTTGCCTGATCCATTGCAAGACAATAGTTACAATAGGAAGAACATTGTAAGAGCCAGAAAATCCAAGCTGTGAGACCCTGAAAGGATTGGGAGTTGGAATGCCTCTTCTCAGAATGCTGAGTTTTCCTGGAAAGGTCAATCAGTCCTGGCTTAACCGGAACTCCAATTCCACCCTAAACTATGTGGGAGCCCAAAGGTAGACTTAGGTTTATGTAACTTATGTCAACTTTGCAAGTATGGATTACACTTTACATTGAAGACGGTTCTAGACTGGCTTCAGGTGAAAACATTTTGTCCAAAAGGCAATTTAGTAAAACAACAATGAACAAAAAAACAAGTAGATAGTTCATTTTTTTTTAAAAAAAAGACTTTACCTGAAGGCAAATACCTTAGTAAGGATTTTAAACAAAAAAATAATGTGACATGCCGTTATGATGATTTTTGGTTTGTCTGTTTTTGTTGGTCGTGGGGCTTGAACTCAGTCTGGGCGCTGAAGAGCTGAGGGGCTAGCACTTGAGCCACAGCACCACTTCCAGTTTTCTGGTGGTTTATTGGAGATAAGAGTCTCATGGACTTTCCTGCTCGGACTGGCTTTGAACCATGATCCTCAGATCTCAGCATCCTAAGTAGCTAGGATTACAGGCGTGAGCCACAGGCACCCGGCCATTATGATGATTTTTAAAAACTCAGTTCCCTAAACTTGTTTTGCTTGCTTGGCTGGCACTCTATTGCTTGAGCTACAACTCCAACCTGGCTTTTTGCTGGTTATTTTGGAGATGGAGTCCTGAAGACTTTTCTGCCCTGCCTGGCTTTGAACCACAATCTTTCAGATCTCAGCCTCCTGAGTAGCTTGGTTTAATGGTGTAAGCCTCTAACACCTAGAAGGGCTGATTAATACTGATTTTTCAACTTGGGCTGAAAGCTATCTCCAAAAGTAGAAAGCACACTACTTGGGGTATCTGAATTGAACTTTAGATAACGAAGCTTCTGATCTAATGAGTAATTTAATCCATTGATGGATGCAAAGCTTGAATAGACTACTGAGAGATTGCTGTGGAAGACTGGACCTAGTTGGAAGAAGTAGGTCACTGGCGCACGACCTTGAAGGGTATATCCTGGTCCTGAACACTTCCTGGCATTCTTTTCTTCTGCATGACCTCATCACAGAATCATCTTCTTTGCCATGATCAGAAACAACAGAGCAGGCAAACATGGACTCACACCTCTGAAACCATGAACCAAAATAAATCCTTTCTTTTTTAAAATTGAACTGTCAGGTATTTTGTCACAGTGATAAAAAGTCTAACACAACCATGAAATGGTTTAGTAACCCTTTTAAATATCCATGAGCACCAATGTTTGCTTTGTTAGCATTTAAAAAATTATACTCTTAGAGTGGAGTTTTATGATGAAATAGAACCACAAAGGATCTTTTAACTTATTTGTAATGATTTTGCTATCAAGAGTATTTCAAATAAAAGGAAAAGTATATTAACTGGTTTTTGTTGTAAAATAATCCCCAAATTCAGTGGCATATTGAACAGTCATTAATTTATTTCAGCTTGATAACTAAAAAAAGAGATAGCCTTTTGTGTTGATTCTGTAGCTGATTTACTGTCAGTCCAATGCATGTAATCTTTCTGGTCTCATGTACTTAAAGTACTTTGCCTAAGAGGCTTAGCACCTTCTGTCATTGAGTTTGCATTGGAAGTCCCGAATTCTTCCCACCCACCATAGATAAAGAGCAATCTTTGTAATGACAGGAAAGGTTTTTGTCATTCCTGTTAGGCTGTTTTTTTTTTTTTTTAATCAAATTGGTACCATGAGTGATGATCATTATGGCAGGCAACTTTACATCACTGTGACAAAATTCCCGAGATACTCCACTTTAAAGGAGTTCAAAGTTTCAGTTTCAGTCCATTTGTCTGTTTATGTGGAGCCTATGGCAAAGTAAAGCATCACGGGAGGAAGTATAAGGAGCCAAGTTGTTCAGTTGTTCACTTCATGGCAGCTGGGATTCAAAGAAAGAGGCGGGTGGCACTGAGGTCAACATCCTCTTCAGGGACATCTCCCCCTTGATTTAACTTCCTTCTGAAACCATAGCAGCCATCAACATTCTAATGAACAGCCTGCATGATAATCATCATGGCTAAACTTCATTTCAAACCTGCTAGGCTGCTAAGAGGCTGTGTAGATCACCAACACAGAATTGTCCTCTGCTCATTAAGTTAATTAAGGAATAAGAGATTGGATTCCAGGGCATATTCAAAAGCCAGCCCCATCCAGGCATGGAGCTTCCAGTCTGTAGTGCTAGCTACTTGGGAGGCAGAGATCAGGGAAGTGGTTAGAGGCTAGCTCCAGAATGGAAAGCAGTCTGTGAGATTCTGTCTCAACCAAATGCTTGGCACAGTGGCTATTATCCAAGCTATGGGGGAAGCAAAATGGTGTAGTGGCATGAGGCTGTCATCCCAAGCAACATGGGGGAAGAATAAATAGGATAGTAGCCTAGTCTAACTCCAGCATAAAATAACACCCTACCTTATAAATAATTGGTACAAGCCAGGTGCCAGGGGCTCATGCCTGTAATCCTAGCTACTCAGGAGGCTAGATCTGGAAGTTTGTGAAGTTGATCATGAGACCTAGAGAGTATAACTTTCTTGAGTAACAAGACAATACCAGAGTATAGGAGTGAAATGTTGATCACAGTTTGAGGTAAGCTGGGTGTTGGTGACTTGTGCCAGCAATGAGCTACCTTGGAAACTAAGTGGAAGGATCATGGTTTGAGGTCAGCCCAGGCAATGTAAGTTCAAGAGACCTTATCTTGAAAATAACTATTGACAGACAGGGCTGGAGGTATGGCTCACATGATAGAGTGCCAGCCTAGTAAATGAGGACATGAATTTAACTCTCCCTTCCCAGTATGGTCAAAAGGCAAACAAAATAATACAAAATATGTAACACCTGGAGGATATTTGTTCTAATTTTCTTAATTTCTTTTTGCTTTTATGATATTAGAATGATTAATTTCACATCCTTCTCACTATATTTTAATTATAAGCAAATGATATACATGGGAATTTGACTCAGCTTCAAATAATTGCTTTTATTTAGTATTCCTTTAAAATATTTTGTTAGTAGAATTTCCTCCAGATATGCATATGAAACTTTCCATTGTATTGTCAGTAGAAGGAATTAAAATATTTGTTTCCAATCAAACTGGGTATTTGAAATAAATAATAGATGAGGAAATAGTTTCCTTTGAGTAGTTCAATAAAATGTGAAAAACAATGCTGTTAGTGAAAACTACATATTTAAAATTTGCCTGCTATATTTTTGAGAATAAAGAAACAAAAGATCTCAGACCCTAACACGTTAAGGAATTTACTCTTGAGGCAGGCCACTTGTAAGTCACAAATATGTCAGTAGATGGCACGCATGAGCTTTACTCTTTTGGAGCTTTACTTTAGCCTAATACACTGTGCAAATGACAGAAATATCACAATTATGTATTGATGGCTTGTTTGTTTTTACGTGTAATCCTTACACTTTAGTAGAAGTTGTTCACTCTTAAAGCTCTATCTGCTTGCTTGTTAGATTGCTAATACTAATAGATGGATACTGCCTACAGACAACATTGGAAAAAGTAACAGCATATTATATTTCAGTAAACATATTGGTTTTTCATTTTCCAATTTATAGCACATGCTGTAAAACCAGAAATTGGAGAACTTAATGAATCTGTCTATAAAACTCAGTTCATTTGATAAGATTATGTTATACTGATTGTCTTCAAATCAGATTTTTGGATGCCAAAGCATCAAAATCAACTGGGAACTGGTAAGAAATGAGTATTCTCAGACTCTTTTCAGTCTCATTCATCCTATGATGGGAATTAGAACTCTGTTGAATGAGTCCTC